CGATCACGGTCAGAAGGGGGATGGGCAGGAATCACCAGTCAACAAATTCGGTGATCCTCACACTGACCAACGGGGACACGATTCGCCTTGTGAATCGGAGTGGAAATGGAGAGAGTATCACTGAAGGGCCTGATTCATCTTTCTGTGGATTTCTCATTCAAGCCACGTAAAGAACACTTGGAGAATTGATCGCTTCCACATCGTGTGCAGGCATGGCGTGCAAAGTTAACATTTAATCGGAATAGAGATATCTCTATTCTTAATAGGAATCTCTATTAAGTTACCACTTCTGTGGTCAGCAGGTCGCCCTCTCCGTTTGTGCACTTGTACTGCCGTGGTTGATTACATTAGAAAACTGTAACAAACCTCTGGCTCAGGGAAACTTTGTGCGTTACGCTACAATGACCTTTCTGTTGACTCAGTGTGCGGAACCAGAAACATAATAGAGATATCTCTATTAAAACAGGACGTATACAATAGAAACATCTCTATTAATAGAGATATATCTATTAGGAATAGAAGACAAGCAAGACGCAGCGCACACAAGTTTTCGACCAAACAGAGCGCAGCGACAGAATACCCCGAGAGCGTGCGAGCCATGCGCTTAAATACCCACGCCAGGTACCAATTCCTACGCAATTCATGCGCAGCACTATCAGCCTGAGCCCACGTACCAGTTATACATAAACTTCAATAGATCTTACCGTACAAATGAACTGTTCCGCTACAATATTGTAATGTATTTTTGGCTTCAACCACAAACGTTGGTTGAGATTGATATATTTTAGTTGTGCACCTAAACAATGGGAGACGTTGACGTTGATGGCAGCAGACATATCAGTCCTTATTCAAGGTGTTGCACGTACCTAGAACTCTGTGGGCATACCATTGGCTGCGTTCGATTAGATTACACGTGTAAGTCAAACTTACACGAGAGCGTTCGTTTAGCCATCACGTGATCCTCGTGCCTGCCCTGGTGTCAGCCACTACTACCCCGGCTGGCGAGCAGGTCTCTGGAAGCTGCCCGAGTGTAATGACGTCACGGATGGACTGTTCGTGCATGGACGTACATGATGGAACGTGGCGGGGACTTGACTTTTTCCCAGAATGCCTTGGCGTGTACACTGCAGCGTTCGATTACCCTCATTTCGAGGCTTCCCTTGCGTGTAACACTGGTGTGTTCAGGGAAGCTAATCTAACGCACCCTATTGATAATAATCAATGATCTCCATTATATAGACTGAATGGGACATCGCGTCCAAAACGCGTCCCGCGTGTGCGTGTTTTCAGGAGGGTAACTAACAAGCCTTGCCAATTTCGTTGCGTGTACTTTCAAATGGAGTTTTTCCAAACCGGTTAAGTTTTTGTGTTTCAGTCGTCATATTTCGAAGAAAAACTGAATTCTGCATCTGGAATGGATAAATTTGGAAACAATAATGGTTGACGTGTATGCAACAATGAATTACCGGAGATCAACGTCAAGTTTGGACAAAGGAACAGAAGGAAATGTGAGTCGCACTTTTTTTGTTTCAGAAAGTTTCTCAAGTTGTACTTTATAATGCTTAACTTTAAGCCTATATAGGCCTAGTAAGAAATTTATGACAGTCTATCTAGCCTATCAGGCTTTTTATATGAAACTTCACTATCTCGAAGTTTGGACCGTCTGAAATGTTACTTATTGGAAAAAGTGAATGACTAAATTGTCGTTTATTTTCCCCAGATTTCACCAGGAAAATCTCCAAGACAGCCATGAATTGTGTTTATCGGATCTAAAGACGCACTGAACCCAAATCATGTGACAGAAGATGTGATATGAGAGACAGAATTCTTAGTGGCAGAGATGAAACCAAAGTGAGAAGCAGAGTGCTGACGTTTCTGTTGAATTAAGTTTAAAGGGAATTCAAAGTCAACGCAACGAAAGAAACTTTGTCTACATAACAAAATAATTATTTGTTCTCAGTTAAAACTGACTGAGAAAAGTAGTTGTTAAATGTAAATTTTTAAGTCAGGTTATGAACTCAACTTTTAAGCTGATTAATAAGTGTCTGTTTTAAAAACGGCAGTGAGTTAGTTTGGTCGCTCATTTAAAGCTACGCTCACTTTGTGCTCACAGAAAAGATTCTCACACTTCCGTATGCCGCATGTCGCTTTTCAATTAAAGTTACTAAATGTATGAATGAATTTTATGAAGTACAAGTTTTCCTGAGATTGTAAAATTAAAATCATTTTATTAATGTTTTTTTCAGTGTTGGCTCATCGAAACCAGACAGAAAAACACATCATATTTACTGACAAAAACCTATTGCATGTCCTGGGGGAATTCTCAAAGTTTTACACACTGAACAAATCATGATTGAACAGACCCAAAGTGAAAATAGTGCTAAAGCGAGACCGTAGACAATAGGTGTAAAAAATTTTTAAAACAAACACGCACAAAAACAGGTTAACATTGACGCTTTCGAGTGGGTTAGTAAATAACAAAATGGTCAGCTATTTCTGGAAATGATATTCTTGCATTTTCTGTTAATTTTGGCTTCTTTTCGGGAGGGAGGCCGAGGGCTTATCCATCATCCTATGAGAAAAAGGTTATGCTGACCAGAAATGCACATTATCCTCCTGAAGCGCCGCCATTGTTTGGCCCCGCGTTTTGGGCACAAACAATGCGCGATGTCCCATCCAGTCTATACAATGGAGATCAATGATAATAACGCCTCTCATAACAACGCGCGCATGCTAAAAACTGGTAGAAGGGCCCGACATGTTTGTCTCCAGCAAGCGTCTCAATGTCCCCCGTTACTGGGGCTTTGCATGTTTTGTAAATGATCTTCTGAAAGCCCTGAACTCACAAAGCACTTACTTCTGAACAAATATACCTCTTTGATGGGTATATTCATCACACTTTCACTGATGCAGGAAAGAAGTGTACTTTCTTTTGGCTTAATTTCAGGCGGTCATTGAAATTGTAATGCTTTTCTTTTCAAGTAGTAATATTTCCTATGGTTTTAAATGGAAAGTGCGCTTATTTAAGGCACAACCTTTGCATGGAGGCAAGAAATATCTTTAAACTACAAACTAGAATTTGACTTACTCCCAGCTAGAATATTAGAATATGATATAGTAGAATAGAATATTTCCTGCAGAGGGTAGATGCGCACAACGTTGTTCCAGTAACGGCTTTGCCAGTCATTGCTCGTGGCAGTCAAATCCGTACAAAGAAAAGGAAGTCCAGCATTTACGGGGCCACGTTACACTTTGCATTACTACAGTGCTTTTTTTTGTACCGTTATAACCCAGAGGGAAAAGCAACAATCAACCTTGTTGGCTCCGATGGAAGTTTGGACGATTCCTGTAATACACCCCCTCCCGCCCAAGTATCAGCTGTCAAGATGTATCTATTTTGATGAGACCAGTAGGACTGAAATGTCTTTGAACATATTGTACAAAGAGGCTCAGTAGTTGTGAACGGCATTATTTGTCAGATATATACAGCACAGGAATAGACAGTTGTAGAATCAAGTCACTTGACTTAAGACTTTGACTGACTCAGACAAAATTGCGACTCGTGACTTGATTTATCAGTTTTTGACATGTGACTTGACTTGGACTCGCAAAAATTGGCTTGTCACCACGTCTGGGAACACAGCTGTCCAATTTTGCAAAGTCTGGGAATGCTTGAGGATGAAAAAAAACCGAAAAGACGGATTTTATGAATGTAAATCTGAAGTATAGAAATTCAGAATTAGTGCCCCTGATAAAAGCATAACCGAAGTTAATGCTCCTTTGTTGACACTAACATTGCTTGTTGGAAAGTTGATTCTCGGTATTCTGATGGTACTTGGACTCAACTACAGACAGTTTAGCTACTTAGTTTAGCTAATTGCGCCATTGTACACCTGGTGAACCCTCTTGCACCGAAGTTCCCGCTATATTTTGTCTGATCTTTCTCCACACGAATTCAAGTAAGCTTACGTCTGTTTCGTCTAGTCACGTAAAGGTCGTAGCCCGTATTTCCTCATTTTTTCCCGATGAAAACATTTTTGGATACTTTTTTATTTCCGTGTTTTTCTCCACATGAATTCAATCTCATCAGTTCCACATAAAAGTCATACCCCTGACAGTTTATATCTCTCTTTAACGAAAACATGTAGTTTTTGGTACAGTTTTAAACTTATGTTAAAGTGGGTTACCCGGATCAAGGACACAACGAAATTGGTCGATATTTTCTGTGTCGAAAACGTGGGGGCCTGATTTCCTGGCATTGCATAAATAAACAGTTTGGTGTAAGAATATGAACCAGGCCAATAATGGCAACTCTCTTGGCAATTTAGGCTAACTTCTTGTGTGGTACATTCTTAGAAAGATTGGGAGCCGATCGTCGATAACTCTCAACTTGTCGGTCTTTATATCGAAGGGCGGGGGAGAGATTTTTTGTCACATATGAGGGGTGATTTCTGAAAGCTCAGAATGGCCTCCATCTCAGGTGAGATTGTGACGATACCAAGTGCGGAGTCAGTGGTGCAGGCTACGGGTGTGCATAATGTCAGTGTCTTGAAAAGTGGGGGGGGGGTTGATGAAGGGATGATTCCCTTCCCCTCAAAAAATGGGAGATAGATTCCCCACCCATCTCTGCCCATGCTTTTTTATCAACACGTAGTTCCAAAACCCGTATCACAAAAATTTCTCACGCCAATCTGTTGAAAATGTATTCATGTGCTAAATGAAACCAAGGCCGGGCACTTTAGTCAGGCAATAGTAGGCTGCGTCCGAATCTCTTGTCTAGAGCTAGGTCTAGGTCTTCATTCCATCGGAAATGCGTGGAGACGCCTAGACAATAGACCTAGCCGTAGCTCTGGGAGCCCGTTTCGGACACGGCCTTAGTCAGTCAGACGCTAAGAGAATGACATCAATTATAAACAAACAGTAAAATAAAAGAACGATGATGGCCAAATTTTGTGTGCATGTCTCTAGTCAAAAAGTTTAAAACATAATTTAGAATGAAATTACGCTTCACCCTCCTCCTTTCCATACAATCTTTCATGCGTTCAATATCCACTCTAAACTTGTGGCTACTCTTTTGTTCGGTTGAGAGCCCTTTTTTTTCATTAGCCAACGGCTATTAAACGAACAACAAATTAAAATCTACATGATTCTTCTTGACAGCTAGCGATTGGCTAAGATTAACAAAGAGGGCGTATCCCTTTGGAAATGTCATTACAAAGCGAACTGCCATTGTTCAGGAATTAACAGTGAGTATGAAATAATGGCGTGGAAGTGATGTCATTTAGTCGAGACTTCATTGGCTGTTGCCATTTCTCCATATTTTTATTGGTCAGTTGTACTCGAGTCATCATTAACGTTGACCAGGATTTTGTTGTTATAGGCCAAAGGATCAGACGGGCAATTCAGTGTGGTTCCGTTCAAACCGGCTTCCATTAGTCCGAGATCCGATCGTTTTATGCGTTTACTCCGCTTGTACGTGTTCAGACCAGTCGTCGTTTGAGAATACATGTGAAAACTGTGCCGTGAAAGCAGTTGTGACGTCGAAATGATATTTCAGGTAAGCTTAAAAAAACAAGCAAAATAGAGCAAAAATATAGGACACCGTTGAATTCATAACAGCAAAGGTTGTGATATAAACAAATGTATGTCGTGAAAAGGCAATGCCACCGAGAGTTACAGACTGGCGTGTCGTTCTAAGCTCTAAGTGCACTATATGATTTCAGGTTGATAAAAATTATGCATTAACATATCGAGTAATAATGTTAGCAAGGCACAAGACTTTATGCTTTGCCATACAAAAATCGGGGTCAGTCCACCTGTTTTGATATAAATTCGGTGCTTGGTGTTAGAACTATGAAATGCACCTGTTTTCACCGACATCCGCTTATCGGCAAATTTCTACAATATGCATATTTATCATTTTTCCTTTTTTTTACACGGAATTAAGCTCAGGTCTCATTTTCTTGCTTATGCCATGATGTGGTAAATATTGTAATATTCTTGAATCGCACAGGTGGGTGTGAGATTAATTGCTCTACTCATGTCTGTGCACCTTCTGTTGCGGGCTGTCTACCACCCCTGCATTGCACAATCTAGCGATGCTGAGATACCACCATTTTCCAAAGGCTCGTGCTGTGGCGCTTGCTTCCAGGGTCCAGCAGGAGCAGCCGGCCAGCCTGGAATTCCAGGCGTTCCAGGCCAAAATGGTCAGCCGGGGTCAATAGGCCAGAGAGGTGAGCCCGGCTTGGGTCTCCCTGGACCCAAGGGAGACACCGGTGATCGCGGTCAGAAGGGGCAGCAAGGAGAGCCGGGGGTTGAAGGACTCATTGGCCAGCCAGGGAAGCTGGGACCTACCGGTCCCAACGGCGAGAAGGGGGAGAAGGGTGGAAAGGGTGAGCCTGGAGAATCGACCTACGTCACCCCGATACCACCCTCCGTCATCGCTTTCAGCGCTCGTTTGAGCAATCATTTCACTGGTAATTTCGGTGATATTATCATCTTTGACAACCTCCAAACAAACATAGGAGATGCGTACAATTCCCAAACAGGAGTGTTCACCTGCTCCGTGGCAGGTGTTTATTTCTTCAGCGTGACCGTCACGGGCCTTCCATCAGGACCTCGGCCGAGTGCTAGTCTGGACATGAACAGTGAAAGCATCTTTTATGTTCACGACAATCATGCAGGCTACTTTCACCAATCCAGTAATTCGGCAGTTCTCCTCCTGACCAGCGGGGACACCATTCGCGTTGTAAATCGGAGTGGAAGGGGACAGAGCATCCATAAAAGTGCGTTTTCTTCCTTCTCGGGGTTCCTGATCCAATCGATGTAACCGACCGACAGCGAGTCCAGGTACACTTCAGTCTATAGACGTGGTGTGAGGGAAAAGCAGTAAGAGGAGCTAAAATGAGGCTGAAGACCTTAATACGACTTATCCCAACATTGTACATGTGGATGCATTTTGTTATGCCTGGAATTACAGTGACACTAATGGCGTTTATTTACAGATTGCAGCTATTAACACTTCGTTTGAGGGCCCTATTATGTTGGGCAGAAATCCATGGGTTATAATATTGGTGGACGGGACAGTTACTTGTGGCATTGTTCCCCATAAGCCTGCCCTTTTCATTTAGACACTGTGATTCTTTGTCTGGTGTGTCTCCAAAAGGTTTCCAGGAACATTAAAGTTAACCTCATGAGGAAAAATTAATAATGAGTATTATCACTCCCATTCAATTAATTAATTAATTAAACCAAACCCCGGAGGTGGTACCTACGGAAATTTATGACACAAATCAGCACACTGTGACCAAACTCTCCCAGATCGAGTTGTAGAAAAGAGCCCATGATTAAATGTCTTGTTTTGTTTCTTTCAAAATAGATCAGATGGTGTGTGCAGGAAGTGTCCTTTGGGGGCGTTGTCTGCAGGGGGCGCTGAATTCAACAATACTGAAAACATCGGCGATACTAAAAATGCACGGGAAATTGAATTCAACAATAATGAAAAACATCCACGATACTAAGAATACACGTGAAATTCCCACTGTACTTGCTTGAAACACCTTGACACCAAGGCAATTATAACACAACAGCTGGGCTTGGACAGTGGAAATAACTCCACGTGGCCAGCCTCTCCCGACCCAGGGTGGGCCCTGTCAATCACAAGAGCTTATCCAGGTCAACATCTATCTGTTTACAGTGCTGGCACCGACCACAAGCTTCCAGACACATTGGCAATTATCCCAGACAGTGGCCTGATACATTTTCAAAAGGGGGAAAGAGTATTTCAGAGGGGAGTAGGTATTGCGTGTTTTAACATAGGTCGTAGTGTTTTGTGCCCAAACATATGAAGATGGATATGCCCTCCCCCTCCCACTGCCGGGGCGATCCCACGATTAACACCCCTCTCAAGAGAAAGGCGGGGAAAGTTAGGAGAAGTCACGGAAGTTCGATCAGGCGATGCGTGGCAGTTGGTAGAACAATCAGATTACTTGATGTCTGAGGTTGTTTGGCCACAAACTCCCACGTCATTAAGAGCCAAATGTTGTAAAAAGATTAGTCAAGTATACACATCACCGTAAGACTTAGCTTCATTTCGTAAAAAATGAATCGATTACAAGATAAGATTAGTGTGGTAACATTCAGATGATTTTCATAATCTGGATTACATTTCAACAGTCCTATTTACCTTGGGCTGCTTCTTTTGTTTTGGTATCGATTTGAGGAGCCAACTGTACCTTCAGTTCATATGTACTGTATTAGGTTCATATATTTCAGTGGATTTCGTTGGAGGGAAAAGGCCAAAAAAATAAGAAAAAAAAATGAGGCATACATCTTTAACCGGTATTGTGATACATGACCATAATGCCAGGGAATTTCATAAGATCAGAAAAATGCACGAATCTTAAACCCGATGCTATTGGCTGCTTGTCTAGGAACACCAGTGACAGTGTCACATGGTTTCGAGCCCCCCCCCGGCAAACTGTGGTCCCTATCCCGGTTGTAAATTGTCTGAAACAACTCACAGATAAGTCACTGGCCCCGTAAGCCATAGATTTTGAAAATAAGAGACGCAACAAATAAGGCGAAAGTTATCGACTACTAGTATGGTGTTACAATGTTAAAAAATATGTTATTTCAAAAAAGATACCCCTTTACAAGAGATTGTGAATAAAGACACCGAAAAAGGTCGTATGCAAGAGAGTACCATGTTATTGCATCGATATGAGGAGTGTATAAAGTCCCCGTTTAGAAAATTAACACTTAAAAAGAAACCATTCCTGTTTTCAACTTTTATTTAGAGACGATATTGGTATCTAATTGACAACCAATCTGTAGTTGTGCCTTGCTTTGTAATTAGGTTGCTAAAAATTATTTTGAAGTTTGTGTTATTTTTTTGGCGTGGGACTTCAGAGCTCGAGAGAAAATCTCATGAAAGTGGGACTTGATAGGCAGTAATGAAAACCCCTTGACTCAGATTTAAAAAAAAATCGGGAATTGGCTGATCTGAAGCAGGGAAGTGCATACCACCTTCAGCTCCAGTCCTGCGATGTTTGAACTTATTTGCTCTTCTGCATCATTGTGTGTTCCGCCGTTTGATGTATTCTTTTGCCGTACAATCACAGTGCACTAAATGGTAACTTAATGTACCACAATAATTGATACTCCACGTGATTTGTTTTTCTGATTGGCCGGTCCAAAACCAGTGGGTGTATCACTCTGTAAAGCTGATTACAAAAGAGTCACTGTCAAGAAAGTCAAGAAAGAGTTATTTTAAGTAAGGCGTTAGAACGGATACCATAATAGTTTGGATTTTATTGGTCGATAGTTATGACATTCTAAATGCTTTGCCAGTCTGATGCCGCTTAAGATCTTTTCATTGGTCAGGTGCACCTCGCAATCAGAATCGGTGACAGTTTTCGGGTTTATAAGCCCAGGGATTTGGTCTAGCAATTTAGTTGGTTCCATTAAAACAAGATCCCCACGCAGATTGAATCCTTTGGTGCTTTGCTCTGCGTGATTGCGTTCGGAGCATTCGTCGATTGAGACTAACTGCGTTCCTGCTAGAAGTCTGGAAAAAGAAACCAAAATGGTATTTCAGGTAAGCTTTAGTTTGGGAAAATTAGCAGGAATACATCTCTGACCAACCCAAGACAGTTTTACATTCAATAAAGCAAAAGGGTTGATATAAACCTGTGTAAGAGAGCTTTGTTCGTTGGTATACTTAAAAAGGAACATGTGCAGAAAAGAGCGGAACAAGTGTCCCATATATATTTTCCATAGCAAGATGCAGGATTTTATTTGGACAGAGTCAATGGTATATTTACAAGTACATTTGTGTAAACTCTCTAATACTGTCCCATTCCAATCTTTTGCAAAATTGAATTTTCTCTCTTTCTTACGTGAACCATTTAGTAAATTGTGGTATTCATATTGTAACAAACAGGTGGGAGTGAGATTTACCGCGCTAATCTTGTCCATACATCTGCTGTTGCGGGCTGCCTACCATCCTTGCTTTGCACAACACAGCGACGCCGAGATGACACCACCACCTTCCAAAGATTCGTGCTGCAACCCTTGCTTCCAGGGTCCAGCGGGAGCAGCCGGCCAGCCGGGAATTCCAGGCGTTCCAGGCCAAAATGGCCAGCCGGGGTCAAGAGGCCAGAAAGGTGAGCCAGGCGTTGGTCGTCATGGACCCAAGGGAGACACTGGCGATAGTGGACAGAAGGGGGACCAGGGAGAGCCGGGGGTTGAAGGACTCATTGGCCAGCCAGGGATGCAGGGCCCTACCGGTCCCAGTGGCGAGAAGGGGGTCAAGGGTGAGCCCGGAGAGTCGACCTACGTCACCCTAACACCGCCCTCTGTCGTTGCTTTCATGGCTCAATTGGGCAGCAGTCATTTCATAGGTAATCCTGGAGATATTATCATCTTTGACAATATCGAAGTGAACATCGGAGACGCGTACGATTCTGGTACTGGAGTATTCACCTGCTCCGTTGCGGGTGTTTATTTTTTCAGCGTGACCTTTTTGAGCTATCACACAGGGCCGACGCTGGATGCAGTTTTGAGAAAGAACAGTGCAGATATTCTTTACGTTTATGACAACCATCCAGGCTTTCATCACCAGTCCAGTAATTCAGCCGTCCTCGTACTAGCCAGCGGGGACACAGTTCGTCTTGTGCATCGGAGTGCTAGCGGAGGGAAAATCCACTGCTGCCCATATTCTTCCTTTACTGGATTTCTGATCCAAGCCATGTAGCAAACCCATAGCAAGCCCAGGTACACGTGATTAGTAGAAGCAATGGAAGGGAATGGATAGTGGAAAGTTAAATACCTTTTCAAAATGCTTTTCTAGCGTAGGACTGCAATCACAAACTCAAAGCGTAACGATGACAGGTTGGAAATTTAAATTTGGGACTCACGTGCTACAAAGTCCAACCATATTTCTTTATTTCTTTTACTTCCATACTGTTTTGTATAGTAACAACCTCTACAGAAAAATAATCAACAATAATGCTTTTCAGATGAAAGGTTCTGATTAGAGAAACAGTAAGTAAAGCAAATTTAAATTTGGAAATTGATATCGGACTGTCAACCGATCTGTACTTGCGACTGGTCTTGTAATTATCTTCGTTACTAAAGATTATTTTGAAATTCATGTTTTTGGGCATCAGACTTCAGAGCCGGAGAGAAATCTCATCTAAGCAGGACTTAATAAAAAGTAATGAAAAAGACTTATATCACAGTCGATAAGCGACGTGATTGGCCGATCTGAAACCGGCAGGTGTATCACTCTGTAAAGCTGATTTTCAAAAAGTCACTGTCAAGAGAGTCAAGCAGTTAGAGTTTAAAAAGGCGTTGGAAGGGATAGCATAATAGTTGGGATTTTATTGGTTGATATGACATTCCACTGTTTTGCATGGCTGACGTTGCATCCAGATATTCTCATTGGTCAGCTGCTATAAGTGATCTGTATCCGTGACCAGTTTTTGAGGTTAAAAGTTCCATTAAAACAAGGCCAGCACAGAGATCGATCCCTTTGGTGCTTTGCTGTGCGTGATTGCTATTCAGAACAGTCGTCACTTGAGGCTACATGCACTTCCTGCTGGAGGTCTGAAAGTTGTAACCGCAGTTTTGACGCCAAAATAATTTTCCAGGTAAGTTTTGACAGAATAATTAGCATTACATTTTAGAATAACACAAGACAATGTGACATTCAAAGTAAAAGCAAAGGAATCGAGATAAACTGATGCTGTGTTTAGATGAGCTTTGCTTGTTGAAAAGCTTAAAAAGGAGGATACTTTAAAAATAGCGGAACAGCTGCTGACGCGCCCTCATCTTCGTTTGGTAATGAGGTCAACGTTTACCCCCCCCCCGCAGAAAAAAGATCGGAGTGTTTGGCAAAGACCATTATTGTTCCCATTACACAAAAAGTGAATCTTGATCAGACAGATGTAAATTCTAAATCTAAAAGTAAAACTCTCAAAACTGTCCATTACAGTCTCCTCAAATATTCAGTTTTCCCGCCTTCTCATTCTAGCCGAGGTTCACACTTTCTTTCCCACTTGCAACGGCTTCGTAGAGTGTGGTATTCGTAATGTAACACACAGGTGGGAGTGAGATTTACGGCTCTAATCCTGTCCATACATCTGCTGTTGCGGGCCCTCTGCCATCCTTGCTTTGCACAACACAGCGACGCCGAGATGACACCACCATCTTCCAAAGATTCGTGCTGCAGCCCTTGCTTCCAGGGTCCAGCGGGGGCAGCCGGCCAGCCGGGAATTCCAGGCGTTCCAGGCCAAAATGGCCAGCCGGGGTCAATAGGCCAGAGAAGTAAGCCCGGCTTGGGTCTCCCTAAATTCAAGGGAGATACTGGCGATCACGGTCAGGAAGGGGAGCAGGGAGAGCCGGCGGTTGAAGAACTCCCTGGCCAGCCAGGGAAGCTGGGGCCACCTGGTCCCAACGGCGAGAAGGGAGGAAAGGGCGGGCCTGGAGAATCGCCTAATGTCACCCCGACACCGCCCTCTGTCGTCGCTTTCAGCGCTCAATTGAGCAACAGTCATTTCACAGGTAATTCTGGTGATTTGACATCTTTGACAATATCCAAGCGAACATCGGAGACGCGTACGACTCTAGTACTGGAGGATTCACTTGCTCCCTGGCGGGTGTTTATTTTTTCAGCCTGAATCTTTTGAGCTGGAACACTGGACCGACGCTGAACGTAGTCTTGAGAAGAAACGGTTCAAATATACTTTATGTATATGACAACCATCAGGCTACCATCACCAGTCCAGTAATTCAGCTGTCCTCGTACTAGCCAGCGGGGACACGGTTCATCTTGTGAATCGGAGTGCTAGTGGAGGGAAAATCCACTGCAGCCAATATTCCTCTAATTTTGGATTTCTGATCCAAGCCATGTAACAAACCCAGGGCGAACCGAGGTGCACGTCATCAGTGGACGCAATGGAAGGGAATGGATTTTAAAGTGACAGAGCTCTTTCCAACACTTTTGTAGTCTACAAACATATCCACAAATTTCAGACACTTTGTTATTAATGCAATTAAACAGGTTAATAGAGCGACAAGTTGACGGTTTGGATATATAGATTTGGGATTCATGTGCTTAATAGTCCAACCATTTTTAATTTACTTTCATACTATTTTGTACCTTTGAGTCACAACCCACTAGGAGAAAAGAAAACAATCAGTAAGAATTTTTTTAAAGAAAGTTTTGACGATTTATGTGAAATTTCCCAAAGGTTAACTGTCAAAATGTGTACAATGCAATGACAAAATTCGAAATCACATTTCTTTGAAAATACTTTTCCAAAGACTAGGGAGTCGTACGTAAAACAAAAACACACACACGGTAGAATAACGAAATGCGCTATTCCAAGGAGTGATTATTAGATCTTAAACAATACACTTTTCTATAAAATACGTAATAAATATGATTCAATTAAAGCACGAAATCTTATGAGCAACTTGCCGATTTATTCTGAAAATACCCTAAAAAGAAAGCACTTGAGGTGGTCAATAATAGCTCATGAACATTTAGGGCATACGACCTCACACAAGCAACTGCGCAAGCATATCATTTGATGCTGTCAGATCGTATATCAAGCACCAACGAAGACATGGATGTTCAAGTTCCTAATTCAATGCACGAAGTTTTAAGGATGCGGATTACCAGCGAGAAAATTGCAGCAACGATCATAGGGTACTAAGGGGATTTCTGGGTTGTGAAATAGATGGTGCATAGCAAGCGCGCATTGCGCTCTGGTCATGGACATACCGGACATTCACAAAACGACAATTGGCAGGATGTTATAGCCCGGACACCTCGAACTCCTGTATCCTTTCTCCATGGTTAGATCTACAGCCTTTTATCAACAGAGCGAAATAGCGGAATGCCAGTATTTAAGTCCAAAAGCGAAAGAATTTTAATAATTAAATAGAGAGGAATTTTCGCTCGTGGTTTAGAGTCTACAATCTGGCAATCACAATCACTATCCTTCGATCAGTCCACCGATGCTCAACACTCCTTTTTGGGGCAAATATCTTTACAGAGTTGGAAAATTGGTCTAGAAAACTGTTTGAGTTCCCTCTTGACTATAGGAAGTACTTGCAGTATTAGAGTTTAAATGAACCTCTGCATAATTGAATTCTTTCTCATGCCCTTTTTCCATATTGTGGCTTGGCCCCATGCAGTTTGTTTATTGGACACCGATGAACGCCAGTTCTTGCATCAAGGTGTTCTCCAGATCCTGTCTGTGTTTTTTCCTCCCCACGAATTCAAGTGCATCTTTGTATTCAGTCGCTTGAGGGTCATAGGTCAATCCCACCAGTGCATATCTCGTGATGAGAACAACGTTTGGTAAAGTTGGGTATTCTGCATGTGTCTAACTTCCTTATGGAATCAAGGCCGCGACATGGTTAAAACATGTTGAATCAATTACGTTGCATCGCAAGGAACAAGAAACTAACCCAGAATCGAGAAACTAATGATGACCATGATGCCAAGCCTGTTTCCAGTCGCTCTAGGCGTATATAGCACCAAAACAACGACAAAATTAAATTTGTGCTATACCATGCTCCTTTGCCAAAAATGTTCCCAATTGACAGTGTTCAGCTGCCCCTCAAAACCTGCGTCCCATGCTTCATTGTAGTGCTGAACATTTTCTAAGATCCAGTATTTCTTTCATTGCTTGTAAAAAACTACGAGAAGCAACACNGAAACAACGATAGAATTAAATTTGTGCTATACCATACTCCTTTGCAAAATATGTTCCCACTTGACAGTGTTCAGCTGCCCCTCAAAACCTGCGTCCAATGCTTAATTGTAGTGATTTTCTAAAATCCAGGAAGAGACAAGTCACACAATTCTTGCTCAAACCCTCCAGTTGGCTGAGATTAACAAAGAGGGTGTATCTGATGTCAACGCGATTAAAATATCAAAACAAACCGTCAATGTAGGGTGAAGTGAGAATAAGTTAAATGTACAAAGGGGTGTCATTCAGATGTGATTTCGACACTCAACACTTCAACAATTTGTATAGCAGATTCCGTCGCCCAACACTGTCATTGTTCATCTATACCTTGGAACATTGTTTTAGGTGACCGGCTTTTGACCTTTCAAAACCGAGGGTTTAGTCATATCGTTCAGTTGGCTCCATTAACACTGTTTGCTTTCTTCCAAGTTCAGACTATTGCTCTACAGTCATTTGCAAAAGTTTAAGACCACCTTGAATTTTATTGGTATTTCTGTCACTGGGCATGCATCACACTGTCTCACTGAATGATTACTTAACACTATTTTACAGTGGTGCATAACATTAGTGTAGTGCTATATACACATTTGAATGATTTTTTTTTTGCGAAGGCAGGTCTTGTATGACATTTTGTTTGCAAGGCAGCATGGGTAAAAAAAGCCAGTCTAAACAATCAGAAACAAGGGAGGGCACACTGAGTATTAGACTGTTAACATGTCAAATCATGGAAATGTGGTCAAAAATGTTCAACCAAGGTACCAAGGTTACACATTGAAAATAAAAATCAGTTGCCATGATTGATTGGTTTAAGTTTGGCTTTCCTTCAGGTTAATGCATTTTCTATGGGTGGTCCTGAACTTTTGTAAATGACTGTATGTAATCAAAGCGTTAAATTAAAATGACAAGACGGCAGAACACTCATTGCGTCCAGTGTATGTTTTGCGTGATGCACAGTTCAACCACTTGGCATCACTTCCATGCTGCTTTGTACAGCTACAACCTAAAGGTACAAAAAGGCATGTTTGTTATTTCTGATTTAAGTTCTGACGATTGATATAACAATTCCAGCGGTATCAGCATATCGGTATTCTTGAAAACACACAGCCACAGTTCAAGGCTGTATGTTAGTATAACACACTGTAATTTGGCAAATTTATTGCGAATGTTTTTCTGGTCGTTTAATGTAACTCCGGAAGGAACACCCCAAGGGGAGAAAAACATGTGTTTTACCCCTCTTGACTTCATAATACTGGTGGTATCGATCTTACAACAATTTCTGCTTAATTGAAATTCTTTCTCACGCTCTTGGTGCCCTATTTTAGCTGAGCCCCTCACAGTTTATACACCGGATAGCAATAAACTCAAACTCTAGCATCGAAGTCTTTGGCATACCCCGTCTTCAAGATCTTGGCGTAGCCTCCACCCGATTTCAATTAGCCCATAGAGTCACGTGAAGGTCACACCCCTGCCACTGCATACACATATGTCCTAATGGAAGCAGTTTCGGTACAATTTTTAATTGTATGTTAATTAAGTCAGGTGTGGGCATCAAGAACATGACACTGTACTCTATCTCGAAACTGTGCTGAGTTGATTTCTTGCTACTACATAAATAACCAGTTTGATGTAAGAACTCGAACAAAATCGTGAATGGCAACTCCCTTGGCCATTTAAGCTGACTTCCTGCATGGTATATCCTTGAAGTGATTCGTTGATTAAAATGGCTAGTTCTTGTCTTGTTTGCTCCATATACAAGTGTTTTGGGGTTTGCATTTAATTTCCAAACAACACCAACAAGCGATTATTCAGCGGACTCTTCATGTTATACGTTTACTACATAAAACTAAAGCCACCACCCGATTTTATTTAGGCATGACGATAAGAGCATTAACAAAAAACTGTGCACTGAACCATATTGAGAGAAAATTATGATGACCATCTGCCAAGCGCGTTTCCAGTCGTTCCACGTAAACCAAAGTAAGTTACTGGTTTAAATTCACTCTATACTATGATCCCGTTTAAAATATATTCCCACTTAATTGTGCCCGACTACGCTGTACCTGACTAAACTTGTGACCCATATTTTATTATGCCACCCGATCCGACTACCCACCGCTACTTATACTAATTGACGCCTGTGCAGTGAAATAGCCTGCAAGAACTGTGATGCTTATATTAAGAACTATGATGCAATACAGTAGGCAAACTTATAAGGCTTATAAGTGAGGCTCACTTATAAGTTTGACTACTGTATTACACCATACGATAATATATTAGCACCACAGTTTATTGCGTGGCTATTTTGCTGCACTGGCGTCACTTTAAGTAGCGGTGGGTAGCTGGATCAGGTGTATTTGCCAAACACTTTTTAAAGCTCAGTTTTCTTTCATGGCCTGTAAAGAATTACCAGAAATGACAAGTCACATGATTCTTGCTCAAACCTTCCGATTGGCTAAGATTAACGAATAGGGTGTACCTTGGTGCAAACGTGATTACAAAACAAATTGTTTGGGTGCAATGGGAATCCCTGTAGCAAATGTGATAAGTGATGTCATTTAGTTGTGAATTCATTGGTCGACAGTTATGACGTTCAATATAATTTGCATCATATGATTCTTGCTCAAACCTTCCGATTGGCTAAGATTAACGAATAGGGTGTACCTTGGTGCAAACGTGATTACAAAACAAATTGTTTGGGTGCAATGGGAATCCCTGTAGCAAATGTGATAAGTGATGTCATTTAGTTGTGAATTCATTGGTCGACAGTTCTGACGTTCAATATAATTTGCATCGTTGGTACCATTTCAACCCTGTGATTGGTCACCTATACTTGATGCATCATTTTCGGTGACTGGGTCTTTGAATTTTTAAGTCCTGGGATGTAGGCGTACAATTCAGTCGGTTCCATGAAAACCAGTTGCTCTCTATCCAAGATCAGATTGTTTCATTCATTTGCTGTGCGTGATCGCCTTCAGTCAAACATCCGTCGTTTTGCAAGGGGTCTGAAAATTGTAAGCGCAGATGTGACGTCAAAATGACATTCCAGGTAAGTTTGGACAAAGAGTTATATATTTCCACAAAACAAAAAGCACAATATTCGTCTAAAAATCAAAACCTTTACTCCCGGTAAAACGAGTACACCTACTGATGACAGTTAAGTGCCAACACATCGTTGTTTCTGGCCCCATAGCGTAATGCATGTTTTCAAATTGAGCTTGATACGCAAATATTTTGAGTGATTACGTTTGCCAGTCTACTATAGATTATTCCCGACTAAAGAAAAATGTATATTCTGAGTCTTAATGTAACATTATGTACAACTGTAGAAGTTCTTCATAACACAAGTAACTGAAAATTCCCAAA